AAATCGCACACAAGAGAGCAACAGAGTCAAATTAATGAAATGTTTAGGAAGAAATAATCAAGACATTAATGCTCGGAGACATATAAATGCCTGAGGCATGTTGATAATTAAACAAAGGGGAGTTTTTATTACGAAATAATTCTGTAATTAGTAGAATGACCTTACTATTGTCATACGATCATCAAAAACCAAATCATATAATTGATATTGACAAGTGACGATATAGGTCACCCATGTTCATCAGTCTTAAACATTCAGGTGATTATAAAAAAATTGTTTGTTTCATACACAATAATTCTAATAAACATATTCATACAATAATAATACCATATTGTTTCCACTGAATGCACCCCTTCCCAATTTCCTCTAATCAACATCCAATTCCACTACCACAATTTATAGAAGAAGCAATCTTAACTTATAGAAAGTAATGAAGATTTATAATCCATAATGAAAGAGCAATAAAAAAAGAGGGCCATGATGGCCCTAGATCGCTCACCTGACCCATCAAACTCATCCAAACAATTACCTAGACAAGCATTCTGACCAAGTCTCATGACAGGTGAGTCAAAAATGTGACCACTACAGTGTTAACAAGGATTATCCATATTTGAGCAGTGTGACCTAGTTTTTTACCCAGGTGACCCATATTCAAACTTGACCTAGAAATCATCAAAACAAACTTTCAGACCAATTTCCAGGATACTTGGATCAAAACAGTAGCAACTAGAGTGTTAACAAGATTTTTCTATTTTTAGCTCCGGTGACCTAGTTTCACATGCGATTTCGAACTCATCCGAGCAATTACCTAGACAAGCATCCTGACCAAGTTTGATGATAATTGAGTCGAAAATGTGACCACTAGAATGTTAACAAGGTTTTTCCATATTTGGGCGATGTGACCTAGTTTTTTATCCAAGATGACCAATGTTCTAACTTGACTTAGAAATCATCAAAACAAACTTTCAGACCAATTCACAGGATATTTGGATCACAACAGTAGCCACTAGAGTGTTAACAAGATTTTTCTATTTTTAGATCCTGTGACCTAGTTTTTCATCCGAGATGACCCATGTTCGATGTACCGTAATCCCAGCAATGACCTAGACAAGTTTCCTGACCAAGTTTGATGACAATTGAGTCAAAGTTGTGACCACTAGAGTGTTAACAAGGTTTTTCTATTTTTAGCTCCCGTGACCTACTTTTTCATCCGAGATGACCCATGTTCGAACTCATCCGAGCTATCACCTCCTAGACAAGCATCCTGACCAAGTTTGATGATGATTGATGCAAAAATGTGACCGCTAGTGTTAACAAGGTTTTTCTATTTTTAGCTCCTGTGACCTACTTTTTCATCCGAGATGACCCATGTTCGAACTCATCCGAGCTATCACCTAGACAAACATCCTGACCAAGTTTGATGATGATTGAGGCAAAAATGTGACCTCTAGAGTGTTAACAAGGATTTTCTATTTTTAGCTCTTGTGACCTAGTTTTTCCTCTGTGATGACCCATGTTCGAACTCAACCGAGCTATCAATTAGATAAGCATCCTGACCAAGTTTGATGATGATTGAGGCAAAAATGCGACCGCTAGAGTGTTAACAACAAAATGTGAACGGACGACGGACAATCATCGATCCTAAAAATCCAAATATTTCTATTTAAAAGTAACAATTAATGACTTTTCAGTAATGTAAAATCATACATAATATAAACCTGTACTATATATTAGATCATAATTTTGAATAATGATTTTTTATAATTGAATTGTACCTTTTAATTAATAAACAAATGAGAGCCCCGGGACATTAAATGGAAACAATACGGTATATAAATTTCAATGTCATGTTATAATATTGGCCCTACCACTTTTTTATTACAGTACAGTGAAAAAAGAAACATTTGCTATTAATTTAATTTACAAAGTATATATTTCATGTACATATTTTCATTTATGAGTCAGTACCACTTAATCTATATCCTCATAATTTATGATGCTCCTTGTGTACTTTGCCATTGCTACAATATTTCATTTTAAATACATTTTTTCATCTAACAGTCACTCTTACTTATTGCTTTAAAACCACACAATGTAGCTATGAAACTGAAAGAAACTGAAAAGCAATAATTTTTGTACTTTGGCCTTAATGACTGTTAACTGAACTGTCCCCAGATGTGTACATTTATATTATATAAAGTTAGTATACTGTGCATACAGTTATACAGTAAAATAAAACACAAAATAATTCAATTTATAATTTTGGTAAGTAAACAGTTGTTAAATTGCTTAACTTTTTGCACTAATATTTGTCTAATATTGCTTTGATAAAATTTAATTGTTTTGCTTCTTTATGAAGGTAGAAGGAAAAGTTTTATACAGGCACACACAATTTCTGGCACCTGGGTTGAATTACTGAACTTCCTTTTTTTTTTTTTTAAACTTGCTTTATTAGACAGTTTCATTTAAATCATAATTCAACCATTTGAAGCAAGAGATGTTTGTCAATTTATCACATTTAAGCATCTGTATTCTCTTTCCTATACTGAAAAATACATTGTACTAAGTATCTTGTTATTATTAGCATAAATTAAGAAGTTAATCTTCATATAAAATATATTGGAAGTCCATAACTTAATACATTTTGTAATGATTATTTCAAAAGGTGGACCAGGAAAACTAAAGTGTGAAAGGAGAAGAAATTGAAGAAGAAGTGCCACACACTTAACATTCTTTATAGATTCTGCCTTATAAATTATGAAAATATTTTTGGAATGTTTGGATACATGAAATTCTGTATTATATAAATGTTGATTCATAAATCCTGACAGTCAGTGCTGTTTCTATAATAAATTCTCCCAAACAATTAACCTTTGTTAGCGATTCTTCCCACAATTAAGACTGAAGAAAATCCACACAAATCCTGTCGCAAATGAACCAAACTGAAATTTCCAGACAAACCCGTTCATTTATTGATTCATAAAACACTCAGTGAAGTCTCAAAACACAAGCTTATATAGAATTGTATATTGTTTTCGTTAGTAGCTTGATTGGGTTTTATCTTCTTTGAACATCAGTTTGTCTGTATTTGTTCTCGAGGGATTTTAGCCGCTTACACGTGACAGCTTTCTAGCTGTTTACCTTTGAAGAAAACATAAGGCGTCATTCACAGAATAATATCATGCAAAGCTGCCTTAAAAAAACCTTCCAATTTAAGGACAATGTGGTTATGATATAATTGCTTTTTTATTCTCTTTTTAAAAAAACAAAACAAACATCTAATAATATAAGCAAATTCAGGCACAGTTTATAGTATTGGCCATTTTTTTTTTATTGCAATGATGCTGTACATGTACATAAATTTCCAAACAACTTATAATAAGTACTTTTCTCTCTGAATAGCTACTTCTGTTGACTGAAGATAATGAATGTGTCCTATATACATGTAAGTTAACTTTTCTTTTTAGTACTGCTTTTCCTTTCACTTTGCATGTAACGATGTTTGTTGTGGTTTTAACGCCGATACTGGTCACACCTTGGTATTCTGTCAACCTAGCCAGCTTTCCTGTATAACATACCAGAAATAACAAATTCCTTTGCATGTGATCAACTATCATTCTGCTTCTGAATCAACTCGGGTAAGAGACAAAATTAATTACTATCAGACTGACATTGTCCAAGATCAATAATTATTGTCACAGAGGAATTTTCTCTCACCTGAGGATTGAACCAGCCACCTGTTTCTAATATAAATGAGCCTTATGTCATGACAAAACCAACATAATGGGTTTGCGACCAGCATGGATCCAGACCAGCCTGCGCATCCGCTGTTCGTGCTGTTCGCTATCAATTTCTCTATTTGTTATAGGGTTTGTAAGCGAACAGCATGGATCCTGATCAGACTGCGGGGATGCGCAGGCTGATCTGGATCCATGCTGGTCGCAAACCTATTATGTTGGTTTTGTCATGACGCAGCTCAAATTTACATCAATCAAAGCTAACTAATGTCAAACAATCCATTCAAACACCACCAACTCACAAACTTTATAATATCACTAACTTTCAGTTGCCTTAATTGCTCATATGGCTCAAATTTTCAATTAGACAAATTACCATATTCCCAAGTAAGCTTCTTTTAATATGTTAAAGTAACCTTTGATTCTAAATTCACATCACGAAAGTCCTTTGAGAATTTACCTTCTCAGTTTTATGATGCTTAAATTAATGTATTTTAGTGCACATTTAACAGGATTGAATTATATTACCTCGTTTAAGTAAAAGGTCGATAATTATCTTTATTGTGTACTAATTTGTGCATACTTTGTTAAGTTTTATGCAAGTATTGCATGCACAAATAGATAATACAAATGTGATCCAGAATGAAATTGCTGACGTAATTTCATTACATTAAGGTCAGATATATAGTTAAAATCTAAAGAGAATCTTGTATTTGACTTTCAAACTCTTAGCCTTCGTGTGACAACATTATATTCAGCCCATTTGGACCAAACTGTGCAGACAAGATGCACACAGCACACAGAGCTCTAAATTTACCATTCGAAGAATCCTGACTCAGTAAAATCCAAAAACATGTTCAAAATCAAGATAATTTCATAAAACTTACAAAAGGTTAATATGCAGATGACATAAACTGACATACATTTTATCTAAAATTTTCCATATGCTGTCTGACTTAAGGCTCTATAATGTTGACTGACCAACTTAGAAGTTTCATCTTGATATCTCCCAATAATGATTATTGACAGTTCCAAAAATAGAATCTGGACAAGTCCATTTAAGAAATTCAGCATTATAAGCTAAAGAACAATGATACAACATATACCAAGCTTGTAAAAACAATGTAAATGGTCATGATGAAAGTAAAAAAAGCTTTATTACTGTGTAAAATATGTAAAGTAAAAACCACAAAAACCACAATAATAAGTTACATGTACAACACTCTTATAACAACAAAACAACAAAATAGTGGAAATTCTTACCCATTCCATACCCGCTTGCCATTAATTATTCAAACACTAAGATCTACTCAGTATCCTTAATTCCAATTAACACTAAGCAACTTTGAACAGTTCTTCGATGGACAAACAATATTGTAAATTTGGCACCATTGTTACAATATACTTTACTAAAATGTTTTGTATTGTTCCATATGAACAAAAACTTTAAACATGTATCCAGCGTCCCTCCCTTCAGTGTGATCTACTCCAAATGAAAGCTTGCAAAAATACAGAAAAAGATGGATAAGGTCAAAAACAGCATGAATTTCACAATGCAGGAGGCAAGTTCTGCTAAAAGATTCATGATCCATTAAAAGCTAGCAAGCTCTACTTGCTAACAGTAAAAGAATCATTTTTAAATTCTATTTTCTTTTATAAGAACATGTTAATTTACAGTAGGTTTTCAAAAAGGAAGTCTGTTTTATAAAATTTCCTTCCCTCATAATTATACTTGAAAAGTTTAGCATTTAAAGTTCAAACTGACAACACAAAAACCATGTATGTTGTAGTATATACCAACTATGCTATATACAGACTTCTCAAATGATTATGGTATACATCGTATGTAAATGGTACTCATAATGACAACAGCCGTCCGGTTAGCTAAATAGGCAAAGCAATGGACAGTGAATAGGGGCGTCTCAGGTTCGATTCCCAAATGATGCAGATCACTTTCGATGTAATTGATCATAAAATCCTTTCTACGGTCAGTAAAAATTACTAAAAAAAACCTAAACTAGACCTATCACTGAAGGTGATTAATACCCCCACCAGCAACTTTGACTTTTTGAAAAATAAGTAGTCTGAAGAAAAATTTGAACACAAACTATCAACTGTGTACAAAGAAATATTTCAATTAATTGTAATCCCTACTGGGGTCTCTAAATAAGCTTGCTTTTCACAAAGTTTGAATACAAGATCTCATTTCTAACTCTAGTTATTATCCGGAAACCATTTTTCTATTTTTAGTAACACTGTAACAGTGACCTTGACCCTAGGGGGTCCAAATGCAATACCAACCAAGGTCTTCATATAAGCTTGCTATACACCAAATTTGATTACAATATCTCATTCCTAACTCAAGTTATTGTCAGAAAACCATTTTTCTATTTTTAGTAACAGTGACCTTGACCCCATTGGGCCCAAATGCAATACCAACCCAGGTCTTCATATCAGCTTGCTATACCCCAAGTTTGATAACAATATCTCATTCCTAACTCTAGTTATTGTCCGGAGATTTTTCTATTTTTAGTAACAGTGACCTTGACCCCAGGGGGTCCAAATGCAATACCAACCCAGGTCATTATATAAGCTTGCTATACACCAAGTTTGATAACAATATCTCATTCCTAACTTTAGTTATTGTCCGGAAACCATTAAATAACAGTGACCTTGACCTTGACCCCAGGGGGTCCAAATGCAATACCAACCCAGGTCTTCATATAAGCTTGCTATACACCAAGTTTGATAACAATATCTCATTCCTAACTCTAGTTATTGTCCGGAAACCATTTTTCTATTTTTAGTAACGGTGACCTTGACCTTGACCCCAGGGGGTCCAAATGCAATACCAAGCCAGGTCTTAATGTAAGCTTGCTATACACCAAGTTTGATAACAATATCTCATTCCTAACTCTAGTTATTGTCCGGAAACCATTTTTCTATTTTTAGTAACGGTGACTTTGACCTTGACCCCAGGGGGTCCAAATGCAATACCAACGCAGGTCTTTATATTTAAGCTTTCTATACGCCAAGTTTGATAACAATATCTCATTCCTAGCTCTAGTTATTGTCTGGAAACCATTTTTCTATTTTTAGTAACGGTGACCTTGACCTTGACCCCAGGGGGTCCAAATGCAATATCAACCCAGGTCTTCATATAAGCTTGCTATACACCAAGTTTGATAACAATATCTCATTCCTAACTCTAGTTATTGTCCGGAAACCATTTTTCTATTTTTAGTAACGGTGACCTTGACCTTGACCCCAGGGGGTCCAAATGCAATACCAACCGGAGTTTTCACATAAGGTTGCTATATACCAAGTTTGATTACAATACCTCATTCCAAACTCTAGTTATCGTCGGGAAACCATGATGTGGACCGACCGACGGACGGACGGACCGACCGACCAACCGACCGACCGACAAGCTGACTCCTATATACCCCCCCTAAACTTCGTTTGTGGGGGTAATAATAATAATAATAATAATAATAAACTCTTTATTTAACGAAGGTAACTTATTAAGACAATACATCAAAGCATTAGATACAACACATATAATGCAAAATCTTATTTTCAACAAGGCCTTCAATAAAACATAAACATAACAACGGACATATTAAAGCTATTGTAAAGATTACAACATTCAGTAAATCTTAACCAACAAAGAAGACGGATATAATAATATATTATAGTATAGGTATATTGTCTATAATTCATTTTTTGATAATAATAAATACTTGAAATGTGATTTAAACAATATAAGACTTGTAGAATTTCTTATTTCTTAAGGAATAGACTAAGTGTTCCATAACTCCATACTAGAATAATAAAAGTACGTTTCAAATAATTTGTTTTGGGTTGTTTATGCATAATATCTTTTTTTATGTGTTGATCTTAGTAAGTAAGTTTTATTTTGAGATAACGGAATTAGATTAGAAATATATGCTGGCGTTAATTCATTCATCGCTTTATATACCATAATTCCAGAAAGTATTTACATCTAGATGGAAAAGATAACCATTTCATACTTTGAAACATATCAAAAGAATTTGTTTTTACGGGTTTATTTAAAATAATTCTAGCGGTTTCTTTTTTGTAATTTTGTTATTCTATTTAGATCTGATTTGTTACATTGGACCAAATAATACATCCATAATCAAAAGTAGGGGCAATGTAAGCGTTATAAAATAATTGTTTCATTTCAGGTGTAAGAAATATTTGAATTCTTTTCAGCAGAGATATTTTAGAAGCAAGCTTAGAACATGTTTTGTCAATATGTGTTTTCCAAGATAGACAGTTATCAATATGCAATCCAAGTAGCTTTTGACAATGAACATTATTTATACTCGAATTCTCAATATGCAGAGAAAGATTGCCTATGTTATTTATTTTACATTTTGATCCAATTATCATGCACGTGGTCTTTTCTGGATTTATGGCCATATTATTGAGAGTGCACCATTCCTGTATTTTTTGTAAGTCTACCTGCAAGTCAGACTGTATATTACTCAAAACTTTGGCAGCTATGTGTAATGTTGAATCGTCTGCATACATATCAATGTCTGAATTCGTAGTGACTGACATATCATTTACATAATTATAAAAGAAACAGTATAGGGCCTAAGATTGAGCCTTGTGGTACACCTGATATAACCGGCAAGCTTTGAGATTTATTATTGTTCATTTTAATTTACAATTTGCTCTCTGTTAGAGAGATACAGGACTGGAAAAGTTGTACAGAGTTTTTTTTAAAAAAAGATAATAAAGTTATACTGTATGAATCAGTATATTATGGTCAACTAAATCAAAGGTCTTTTATTTAATCTAAAAATACAGCACCTTTATCAATTTCCCATCATTAATATTCGTAAGCCAAGCATCTATAAGGCGGACAAAAACCGTTTGATAAGAATGATGTCTCGGAAACCTGACTGGTGTTCATTAATAAAGATAATATTTTTGAAATGGTTGGGAGAAAAGATATTGGTCTATAATAATTGGGGCTTGACTTATCTCCCCCTTTGTGTAAAGGTATAACACGTGCTAGTTTTAGTTTATCTGTGAAATACTGTTATTAATTATTGACGTTATGGCTCTCGTTATAGAGTCTTTACATAGTTTAACATATTAGGACAAATTTCATCAATGCCAGAAGATTTATTTTTATTAAGGTTGTCCAATATGTCTGGTTGCTTCAAATGTGGTTATGAAATCAATGCCAAATTGCTTATGTTTAAGTTTATGATCTAGAAAATCTTTTAAATAAGAACAATTGTTAACATTAAAATAAGATTTCTTAATTAGTTTTGAAATTTCCGCAAAACGTTTATTCAGGGCATTTGCAACATTCACATTTCCTTCAAAAAGAACATCATTAATGTTTAATGTGATTGGTAAAGACAGTTGCTGCTTATTCTCATTTGATATGTCTTTTAAATTTTGCCATAAATATTTACAATCTCTCGAATCTTCAACTGCCTTGTTATAGAACATCTTCTTACTCTTTTTAATAATAGCCTGGCATTTATTTCTCCATAACTTATAATTAATCCAGTCTTTACAACCTTTATAGTGATCTCTTTTATTGCGGGCCTCTTTAATTTCGTCAGAGTACCAATCTGGTTGTTTAGTCCTTTTAATACGCTTTACTTTTACAGGCGCATGTTTGTTAAATAATGTTTCAATCATATTGTATAGAACATCAAGTGAGTTATTTGGCTCTGCAATAGTTTCAATCATATCAAAATTATTAGCATTCAAATCATCTTTAAATACTTGTTCATTAAAATTCTTGAAAGAACGATAATTTATCGTTTTATGCGAGAAAGCATTTGCCTCCCTTCTTGTAACACAATTTATTGTAAACGACAATGTATAAAAACATGAAACACATAATAATGGAAAAAAAAATTGATTTGTATGTAAGATCAAATTATATATCACTAATGAACACTAGCTATGCCTCTCATGAAAACATTATCTCTGGTGCTCACTCTGTGAAATAACTCTTAGGTCAAATCAAAATAATCTTGGTGCAAAATGGATTAACTTTTTTACATGTTTTATAAATGTAAACAAATATCGTGATCTTGAGATCCAGTCATTTTTATGTCATTTCAATCCACCAAATCAGACAAAAACTATGTTCCACATAAATAAATCAATTTTAATTTTTGTTACCACATTATTCCTGATCAAGCTTTTGCATTTAATGCAAACTTGCTTGCAAGACCCACTGTGCACACTACACTACACTTCTTACTCCATGAATGAATAACAGCCACATAAACTAGTGTTTTGTTGGACCATTAAGACATCTGCTAACAAAGGCAGAAGGGCCCAAGAGAATCCAAGAGTATGTGATTAGAAATAAATCACAGAGGTTGTCGTTGTCATGAAAAACTTTTT